CAGGTGTTCGACAATCGTTGTCTCAGAACCATAGCTCGTGTGGGTTGGTGTCGGCGAATCCGTAACGAGGCAGTTAGAAAGCGTATTTTCGGTTGTGTAACGGGCACTTCCATTGAAGAATGTGTCCAGCACCAGAAGCTGTGTTGTTTGGGACATGTGTTACGCATGCCGAACCATCGTTTGCCGAAGAGAGTGCTGTTTTCCATGCCCAATTCAGAGTGGCGTAAACAGCGAGGTGGCCAACCCTTGACTTGGCAGAGGAGTATGAAGGAGATGATGAAACGCTTGGGTGCTGTCGGTGCTACTCGCCTTCCAGGATGGGGACCGCGTGATCCCAGGCAGACGCTTCAGTGGCGTGCGCAGTACACATCCTAAACAGCGTTGCCTATGAAGCGTGAGCATCCCATCCACTTTCAAAAGCCATCTGGTATGCCTCATCATTGCTAGTCCGATTTTCCCGCCAGTCCAGGTCAGTACTTCGGAGGCACCGAATGTCAAGCACTAACAGCTTTCGTACGTCCTCTGCACGCAGAGGCCATATTTCTTATGCGTAACACAGCCTCGGTGTATACTCCGCCGTTGACGGACAGACTGGCGTCACGCCGGTTCCATAGCTGTGGGAGATTGTCAAGAGCTGCCTTAACATTCAGATTCCAGCAATAATCTCGTCCCCAGCCAGTCCACTGGAACTTATACAACTATTAAAATTAACTATTCTACCTACCACATCGACTGGCTGGTCTGCAAGCATGATGTTTGGGTTTGATCGCACCCAGTCTTCTAGCAACATTTTACATCTTGCGGGCGTGAAGCGCGAAAATATCGATGATTATAATTACGTCCTATCCAGGGTTCTCGGTTTCGATCTACCTATTTACGACCACCGACATGTTCGTTACATAGAAGTCTTTTGGAGTGAAATCAATGTGAGCGACGATGAGGCTAGTTATCACCAAATAATATACCTGGCTTGTTTTGCTTTTCTACATGATTCTGATTCTGGGCGAGATAGCCCAAGTAGGTAGAGCGCGAATTTACTGACCGAAAGGTTCGTGGTTCGCCTCTCGACTTCCCCTGTCTTGGGCAACCTGGCAGTATCCCAGCCTTCGTACAACCATGACATTTACAGCTAGCAATACTTTCATGCCACACCGGTCGTCGCGTGGTGCCATCAGCTGGGTCGCTTTACTTACTGCGTTCAGTAGGGTTGGCAAGCGAAAACATGCTACTGCTCCTCGAATGCCTGTCGTACGGTGCGATGCTGGATATAAACGGCCATGTGGAAAACATATCCAAAGCGCTACTCAAAGCCTGAGCGTCTGTTCGCGGCACAAACGGCCAACCTCATCCAAGCCTCTCGCGATCCAGGCTAGAGTCTTCCTTATGGGGTGATTATGGTATGGTTCTTGTGGTTGTTAGCTTCCAGCGGCCCATTCCAGGCCACTAAGTACTCGTCATTAGTTGCCAGGGGAGGAATGTCAAAGTGCCATGTTTCGAATTTACTAAACAGTGTATAGCGATGCAACTTTATCTTGTGAAAATTAATAATGCTCTCTGTTGACTGTGGTTATGATCTTTCAACTCTGTGCTTTGTTCAAGGGAACTCAAAACCCATGAATACAAAAAGGCAGATGGCTCAAATGTTAACGTATACCAAGTCCTCACTGACCAACGTGACACTGACTTGTGTGTAAGTTTTATTCCCTATCGCACTCGCTGATGGCCTATATTTTGAACACAGAATTCTGCATTGAAACCGGGTATCACCTTCCTCCCAGATGACAAGCGGATTTTCAACACCATTTATATAGTTGCAGGTAAGAAGAGATTCGAACGTAGTTTTCTCATACTTAAATTCAGGAATGGATTATGTATTCCATGATGATATCATTCCATACGTTTCCAACGACCCCATTCCAATCAAGAATGAATATCTCCAAGAGTTTTTGATATGGACCGCTGACAGAGGTGAGTGCACTTGATTTGTACAGAATACTGGAGCGACAATGCATAAGTATGGAGACAAAATGTTTGGTCTTGAACCAATAATGTTTGTCAGGTTTGGCTGAAGAGTCCGTTTTTTGTGCCACTCACGGTTGTTCATGGGCTAGGATGCGATGCCCACAGTACCCTTGTCTTCGAAGGCGCCTCCAAGCGTGCAGCACCTCGAGGAAAGGGACGCATCTGATGCTTCGGAATTTCCATCACTGGAAATCCTCCTAATAAACAGCAACCGAGCAAGAACCACTTTCTGAGTTGAAGATAACTCAGTGGTTAAGGCGCGAACTTACTAACCGGAAGGCTCGAGGTTCGAACCCAACCTCAGCATCTCAACTGCTGTCTTGGCTTGGGCCTGGTAATAGACGCTCGGGTGTTAAAGCAACATATATAGCAACAAAGCAACATATATGCAGACGACCCACGACCTTGATATTTATTGGTTTAAGCGATGTTTGATTCTGTCGATCGGTCGGTGCTGTTAACCAATTACTCAACAGGATATGCCCCAGAAGTCTATGGACAAAATCCGCGCCCTATATTCACTGACTCCTGTGCATGTGAGTGTGGTGAACTATCTCATAGCTTCCCTACAAAAGGTGTTCGACAAAGGTGTCCACTCGCATCTTTCTTCTACTTCGTTGTCAATGAAATAATGAGGCGAATGTTGGAAGGTCTTCGAAACCGTGATGCTCATTTCGTTGCTGGTGGAAATCTTGTCAATCTGGAATGCACTGACGATATCGTCCTCATCCTCATCGTCCAGACAAAGGCGATGCACAAGCTTATTGAATAAGCGGACCACCATCATGCCATCTTTTGGCATGCACCTTGCTCCTTCAAAAAACCCAGTCGTGTCTCAGAAAATTCAGCCTCTAAAAGTGTTCCTCATATTTCAGGGACAATCACCGGTGGTTGTGGAGAAGTTTACGTACCTCGGTAGTTGTATTAGCTGTGACGGAGGTGTGTCTGATGAAATCAGTGCACTAATCCCAGAGGCCAGAATCAGGTTTGCTAATTTGTATCACTTTTGGCGTCAAAACGGTTTTCGAGATTCGCGCTTACCAAGCTACAGTAAGGGTCGTGGTGTTGTATAGTTGCGAGACGTGGCATCTGCGGACAGAGGATATGAAGCGTCTTCAGGTGACCGGTTCGACAGAAGCGTTGCAGGTGTCGGATGGCGTCAACGAATTTTTAAGGAGTTAATTAATAGTGGCTACTGGGTTGTGCAGCCGGTGCTTCAATCGGGAAAGAAATCCAGCACCGTCAATTTCGGTGGCTCGGCCATATGTGCTACACATGCCGAAACACTCAACCATATCGGGTGTTGTTCTTGCGTCTTTTAGAATGGCGGAAACCGCGAAGTAGACAACCTATGACTTGGCACAGGGGTGTGGAAGAAATTACGAGGTCTAGGTGCTGTTACTGTAGTGCACATTCCATGATTGGGTCCTCGTGAACCCTCCTGCGCTTGGTTTGAGACATTGCAGGAAATTGTGGGTGATCGATGTCAGTGGCTGGCTGAGTGCTCGGACTTGTAGGCACCTCAACATGCTTGCGATAGACCAGCACCACGTCTCTTCCTCATCAACCATTTTCTCTTGTAATTCTAAGGCTTTAAATATAATTGCTATGTTTTGATCACGCAGAAAGCAGACGATGGTGTGAACGGACTGACACGATATTCTATCCCCAGCTACTTTACGAAATGGTCCAAGGCGTTAGAGCGCGAATTCACTGACCAGAAGGTCCGTGGTTCGAGCCCGACCTCTGCCTCTCGACATCCCCTGTCTAGGCTTGGGCAACCTGGCAGTATCCCAGCCCTCGTGCAATCTTCGGGTGGCATGGTAGTTAGGCACTGAAAGGGTGCTGCAGCTGAATGATTTATGTTGCGTGATCCCGATTCCTAGTGCAAAGAAATAGTGAGAAGACGAAATCTTGGAAACAACCGTAATTCTCCAAACAACGGGCGATTAAGTAAAAATGACTATATATA